ACATGGTGGAAAGGAGAGGGAGGGGGAGAGAGAGGGAGAAAAGTGAATAACTGGCAAAGGCTGTTAAGAATGTAGTCTAAGGAGATGGCATTTGAGGTTGTACTTGCAAAGTGAGAAAGAACCAGCTGTTGGAAAAGCTAAGGGAAGAATGTTTCAGGCACGTGGTATAACAAGAACAAAGTCTGAGGTGGAAAAGACTTGCATAATGAACCAAGAAAGAGGTTGGGTGGTTGGCCTGTGGTCTGTAATGGGAAAGGAGTAGCATGAAAGGAAGCAGGCAGGAGCTAACACATGGTGGCCTTGCGAGCCAGTGTAGGAGAGTAATTCTTAGTCTAAAGCAGTGGAAGCCAGTGAAGGACTTTAAACAGAGGCGCAGAATAGACCTTAAAGGAGATTTTATGTATGTATGCCTTTGCTTAAACATTATATTATAGTAATTTTAAATAAGCATGTACTTTTACAAAATTTATGGTACATCACTTTAGTGTGTAATTGTGTTTATCTCTCAATGTTTTATATGGCATTGCATTTCATTGTATTTTTTTCATTGAAATATTTTATTTACTTTTAAATTAGTAGTAAACGTTTTTTTCCTATGACCATCACTGCACTGGTGACCTCATTTATTAAGGAATAAACCAAACTAGATATTATCAACAAATGAAGAAATTTGTTTTAGGGGTCCCATAGAACAAACTGACAGTTTATTTCAGTAGCCGTTTTAGTGAAATTTGACTAACACACACACAAAATCTATCCGATTAAAATCATTTTCTTCTAGAATCCTGATACTCATAAATAGTCGTTAAACACTTATTTGTGTTTCTCAGCCAGATGTCCCTGTCATAAGGATGTGTTAGATTGCAATCCCTAATAAAGTAGATTTATACATACCCTGATAAAATTTGAGCTTTTAGTTACTGCTCGAATGATTTTAGCAGTCTCTTGCAGTGCTCAATACCCGTGAACTTACTTCTTTTTTTAATATCCTGGCCTGTTCCTGAGATGATTATATTTCAGATGCACATTTTACCTATAAATTTGAGAGTTTTCATCTGATACTCTAATTAAAGAAATATATTATGTGAATTTGACCTTTTGATTTCTGTCTTGTCCTTATTGTCTTTCAGGAAGATGATTAGACCAAGTTATATGCTAAGCCCTCTCAAGTATTTGTTTCAGCATAAGGATAGGCCACATTTTAATCTAGTTTAAAAGTAATTTAGAGATGTAAAGAATCATTTTCATGACCTATCATCTGAGAAATACTTTGCCATCATGGTTCCTTTTTCTTCCCCAATTTACCCTCCTTACTTGCTATTACCAGACCTTTTCATGGATATAAATTTATCTTATTGCTGTTGATTTCAACTTAGAGTGTAACAGACTTGATTACATATTCTGAAAGGGCAAGCTAGACATCTAAATTTTAGAAATTGATTGTATTGGAAACAGTAAATCATGTAGAGACTTTTAAAAAGCTGTATTTAGTTTTGTTTAGGTCCATTAGTTATACACTTTAAAATATAAATATTGAAAAACCAGATAGTCAAGAAAGAAAGAGTCAAATTATTACAACTCTATGCAAATATTATAGGATGAAGGTGTTATGTTTGTTTTGTGCAGAGGGGCCAAGTATGACTTTGCTATGATCATGAGTACGTTAACAGGCAATATTGGTAGAATTTCCTTTGTCTTTAAAGAGGCCAGAAGAATAATAGAAGTTTAAACTTAAAGCCGTTATGATTTGGGGTTATAGAAAATGATTTGGGGTCATAAGGCAAGGAAACTTTGTTTATAGCATTTATTGACATTAACTGGGAAAAAATAAATAATTAGACTCTTTGGTTAGCCCTGTGTTAGGAATCTGTGGCTAATGGAAAATCTCTCAGTTGGGTCAGTAACCTCTTGACTATTGTAAATCAGTCTTAAGAAAGCAGGTGTTTGTGGAGGGGTGTGGTAACTTAGGTCCTTGCTTTGCTTGATTCCTATGAGGACAACATGGTAATCGGCTAGAAGAGGTGCTTTAACCATTCAGAATCATGTAAGTTGAGGGATTGCACATGATGGATTTCAGGCAAGTTCACAGCTCTTATTATGGTTGTTTAATATTGTTTAAATATCCTAGTGCATTATTGCTTAAGCACATTCTTGTGGTCAGTTTACTTCCCAACTTCTAATTTGATTTAGTACAGCAGTGGTAAATAGAAGAAAAATAATTCTCATTGCCTAATAATAGTTTATAATATTAATCACTTCATAATCTCTTTTACATATGAGGAAGTGAGAATGATTGGAAACTATCTTATAAAGCTGCCTACCACAAGTGGTTAAGGCTTTTCTTTGTTCGTTTTAATTATGAATTTGGTTTTTAGAGTTATTAAGCCTTTAGGTTCTAGTGCCGTTTCTGAGCTATCTAGTATTGCAAGTCTCATCATTATTTTTCACATTGTCATACGTAGTGAACTTTATCAATAATATATTGAATAAAATGGAGCAATCCTTAAATGCAGAGGTGAAGTGAGTTAAGGTAATGTGTATGGTATGAAAAAGAAAGGTCTTCATCTCACCCTAACACTACCCCTCAACCTAGATTCTAACATTCTTGCTCTCTATGCTTTGTATATATATTACATGTTATGTCATACTTTTTCTTTAAGCATATTGATTATCTTTCTGTATGCATTTTTATTGTGATTCCTTTTTTCTTCTATTTGAATACAATCCATCTTCACCGTCTAATTCATACCTCCTTTGTGTCTACCGGTGTTGTATTTTCTTATGTACAACTTCTGACCCTTTTTGAACTGTTGCTTTTTTGTGACATCTAGACTATACATTTTATCCTTTATTATATTAAAAATCATATGTAAATCTTGATTTTTCAACTACATTCTAATTCCTATGAAGGCAAGGATTCTCTTCCATTCTTTATATATCCTCCATTTAATCCAGCACCAAGCACATGATAGCTCATTATTTATTATTGGTATAATTGTAGATATTAAAAGCAGTGTTTTCATTGCATTAGTAGTCTTGGCACTTAAATATGAATATTTTTTCTGATTTCCCTTGAGATTAAATTTTGACAATGAAAGAGGTATGCTTGAATAACAGACGTCTGTGTTCACACAATTATTGGAAGGGAGATTCCTTTAAAGGATGCTCAATTACCTGCAGATTCTTTGAATAGGAGCAAGGATTCACAATATGTGATGTTACAGGTTTTTAAATATTCTAGAACTCTGAAAAGTAATGTGTGTGTAAAGGTAGAGGGAAAACTAGCTTTCAATTATTGAAAAAGTACAAACCAACACCCTAATGATTGTTGTTAATATATAAAATACAAATAATAGGACAATATTATACTTTTTATACTTGAGTTATATTATTCTGAAGAATTAAAAAAAAAAAAGAGTTGGTTCCTGCATGCAAAAAGTTCAGAGGTCAATGTCAGGTAAATGGCAAAGCACAATTCTTTACAGATAGATTTGGTTTCTGTAATGCATTAACTGTATGACTTTGGACATGTTACTTAAGTAACCCCGCTGAGTTACTTTACCTGTAAAGTGAGGACAGTAATAACCAAAAAGATCAGATTGAGGGATAGAAAAGAGAGGTCATCTGATGCGCCAAGTACATTACCTGCCCTTCTTAGGCATCTAACCCATGCACATTGTGTTTTGCTGCCTTTCTCCCCTTCTTCCTCATGTTAGTTACACATTATTTAATTCTAAGCCTCACTTAAAATGTTGCCCTGATAATAGTATCATAGCACTTTTTTTTTTTTTTTGGGGGGGGGGGACGGAGTTTCGCTCTTGTTACCCAGGCTGGAGTGCAATGGCGCGATCTCTGCTCACCGCAACCTCCGCCTCCTGGGTTCAGGCAATGCTCCTGCCTCAGCCTCCTGAGTAGCTGGGATTACAGGCACGCACCACCATGCCCAGCTAATTTTTTGTATTTTTAGTAGAGACGGGGTTTCACCACGTTGACCAGGATGGTCTCGATCTCTTGACCTCGTGATCCACCCGCCACGGCCTCCCAAAGTGCTGGGATTACAGGCTTGAGCCACCGCGCCCGGCGCATAGCACATTTTGATATCTGTAGGAAAGTTATTTCGAATTCTAGCAGTAATCCAGTGGGAAACTAGACTTGGAAAAAGGATGTTGTCAATAATGTGACATGAATATTTTTCAAAGAATTTGTGTGTTTTTTTGTTTCACTTCAAAGTAGTAAGTTTGAAAAAGTATTGAAAAATATTTAATATTAAGCTTAAAAATACATTAAGACATTTATTGTTAGTTTGAGGTGTCATATAATTTTCTGAAATTAATCAAAAGATCTCTCAGTGAGAAAATAAAATTTTGCCAACTTAACTAGGGAAGTAATATTATAAATAAAATAATTTTAACCAGACCTTTTGAGGAATGGAGTTTTCTGACTAAAAACCCCTTTTGTTACTCTTCATGTAAATGTTTACAAGCATAATGGTTCACTTTCATGCCTAAGAGAAATAGATATGTAGAATATAGGAGCTTCTTTGTAGACTAGGGATCTTTCATCATTCTAAATAACAGCTTTTATCATATGACAATGTGGATGATGGCCTTATACGTAGGAGGAAATTAGGCTTTAAGTAATCACAGGGCATATATTATGAAAAGTAACCAGCCTCCACTCCCTCCTCCCATCTCTAATCCCTAATCTCAGTTTTTTTTAATTTTCATGTCCTTACTTCTGAAAATGGAGTATAGAACATTTCCTAACAAGTTGAGAGTCCGGGTCTTAGAATTTAAAATGTATTAAAGGAGACTTGGGAGATTATTAGCCTAGTACCCTCATTTTATAGATTAACAACCTCTGAGGCATAGGTTAATTGACTTGCTTAAGGATACTAAGCAGATTCACTAAAAGAAACAAAGATTTAGGTTTCCTCATTAAACTGACACTTTAACAGTGTCCCAAATTTTGGTGGTTATCTTTGATCTTCTTTGAAACAGGTAGATCGACACTTGAGAAAGCTGGATCAGGAACTGGCTAAGTTTAAAATGGAGCTGGAAGCTGATAATGCTGGAATTACAGAAATATTAGAGAGGCGTAAGTAAAATTTACAGTTTTCCATCAATATTGGAGAGTACATGTGCAAATCACTGAGAAGACACTTGTCCCACAGAGGCTTTTCAAATCCTGCCCTTCAGTGGATGGTGGCATCCAGGCCAGATAGCTTGGACCCTAGCAATTAGAAATGTTTGGGTCATGAATACTGAGAGAGATAATATAGGATATCATCCACTCACTTTTTATGAAATAGCATATTAAATCATTTTTATATCCACATATCCTAGTAAGTTGAGTGGTAAGAACAAAAATTTAGAGAAACGTAACCATCGGGAGACAAATTAACTATCTTGCATTAAGTGTGTTGACTTTACCATGCCTCTTTATATACTTAAGCTTTGAGGAAGGTGGTTAGTTTCTCTTCGTAAGAATTACTTTATGGCTTTTCCTTAACTGTATATATTGAAAAAGATTCAACTTTGTTTTATAACACTACCTCTTTTTCTTAAGGAAGCGTTTCCTTCTTTTGCTTATCAGCAAGAAACCATTTTAATATTTCTTTGCAAGGCTCTATTTGATCTCCTGCTATAACTTACCCCTGTCACTTCTTTAGTGTGACTTCCCAAAAATGGAAGCATGAACACTGTTTCCTTAACTACTTTAGCATTTCTTCTAACCTAAATAGGTAACATACATGAAAGCAGTTAGTGTGGTACTAGGCATAGAGTAGGCACTCACTAGGTGTTAATTGAACCAAATTAGTGTTATGGCTAATTTCTACTAGAGTTTAATTAAAACTTTCAAGCATATTTTTTCTCGGTGCATTTTAATAGCAGGCATATGTACCTGTTTCTACACACAGCGGAAAGGTTTCTTTATAGTGCCAATCTATCTATCTCTCTGTATACTCACCAGAAGTCAGCTAGGGAAGCCAATCACAAGTCTGTCTTGATATCCATAGTTGCATTTTTGTGTTCAAAAGTAGATCTATCACTTTAGATAACCATCCTATTTATTTGTGATACTTTTCTTCTTGAGGAACCCTATCTGAAGATAATAAGTATTTTGAGACAAAACTTAAAATTCTTTAGCTGCTTTGATTTTTAAAAAAATGCTGATGATAGCTGTGAGTAATGATAATTCATGCCTATTCAGTACTGCAGGAAAGTTAATAAAGCATCCTCTCTAAGGACACAGACATATGAAGCAAAATTGGATCAAGTTATAAAAAGTGTTCCACCCTGTGCCCTGCCATAATTTCATCTCAAGGGATCAAAAAATAAACCCAGAAAATTTCATTAAAGTTATTTTTAAGCTTGGTGTTATTCTCACTTTTTGCAAGCAAAATCCCTAACTTCTTTTATGAAGTCTTTATTATCATAATGGCATTTTAATAATCAAATAATTTTTTCATGTAGTAATGTCCCCCATTACGTAGAACTTTAGAATCTCGCATTAAAAGGTCTTCAATTCAGTAAAACTAGGCTGGCTCTTACCAGTAATGAGATTAAAATATCCATTCATCCTTTTATATGCACCCACTGTGGTAAATTCCCTAATTAGATGCAAGTATGCCTTGAGCCATTTTGTACTTAAGATAAATACTGGGAAAGGAATAACTTATTGTTTAGAGAGAGGATAACTCAGTGTGGGATGGACAGTGGTGATCCTCTAACATGTCTGGCTAAAATGATACAGGCATATGCATCAGAACTTGCTAGTCCTCCTCTGGGTAAGGGAACTCATTGCCTGTAGTAGACTAACGTGAAGTTCTGTGGTGACATTTAATAGTGGTGTATCTCTGTGCCTCTCTTCTTTTAGGATCTTTGGAATTAGATACTCCTTCACAGCCAGTGAACAATCACCATGCTCATTCACATACTCCAGTGGAAAGTAAGTTTGGTGTAGTACAGCTACGTTTTGAAAAACAATTAAAACCTTATTATATCACTTGTATATTCTCTTTTTTTAACTTTACACAATGGATTGAAAAAGAAATAAAGAAATCCTTTTTTTTTTTTTTCTTTCCATTGCAAGTACTGGCAGACTATCTTTTTCCTTGGCGAAAGCATATGTGATTCAGAAATGAGTGTTCTGTTTTCTCTTAAATGTTCTCTCTTAGAGGGAGAATGTATGGTACTAATAGCATATATTCCTTCCCTATACATACCTGATTCTCCTTAGGGAGCCTTACAATTGAGGCAGACAATAAACTGTTTTGTAATAGGCCCTTTGTCTTTTTCATCCTTGCTTCTCCAGTGCTTAACCTAATGTTTTGTATGTAATTAAGTCTGAGTGGCTGGTAAGTTAGTGAGTGGATGAATTGTTAGATGACTGTCTGGCTAGTTGATACAGGAAGAGATAGTTGACTGAAAACTTTTCTAAGTGGTAGATAATGTTTTGAAAACAAAATTTTCCTCATATTGTATGTGAGCCCATCATGCATCTTGGGTTATCTTTAGTACTTTGCTACTGAAGTTTTTTAAATGGTGGAGAAGTCTACTCTTAATAAACGTGACACAGAGTTCTGCTTGTCCTGCCTTCTGAGGAAACATCCTGTTCTGTATTTTAGAGGAACACAGATCATACTATTCCACATTATAACTGGAGAGAAGTATTATACCTTGTCCATAGTTCTCTAAAGTTTAAAAACACGTGAATTCTTTATTTATTTAGAAAGGAAATATAATCCAACTTCTCACCATACAACAACAGATCATATTCCTGAAAAGAAGTTTAAATCTGAAGCTCTTCTGTCCACCCTTACATCAGATGCCTCTAAGGAAAATACGCTAGGTAAGTTAATTTTCTTAAATATAATTGCATTTTTTGTTTGTGTTGGAATAAGGGGAAATAAAATCTTTCAGGATTAATGAATCATACAGTATCTTTGCCTGGTTGAAGTACACATATGGAGAAAGAAGAAAAAGACAACAAGATACATTATTCAGTTGACTTAATGTGCAGTGACATGAAAAATTTTAATTTAATTGTTGTTTATCTGTGCTGGGAAATAATGTATTTTAAACTCATTCACATTATGTTCTCTGCAACGATTTTTCTTTCCTTTTTATGCCTACACAGGTTGTCGAAATAATACTTCCACTGCCTCTTCTAACAGTAACTACAATGTGAATTCCTCCCAACCTCTGCCGTCCTATAACATTGGCTCATTACCTTCAGGAACTGGTGCAGGGGCAATTACCATGGCAGCCGCTCAAGCAGTTCAGGCCACAGCTCAGGTAAAAAGTAGTGTTTAGAGACAAAATGTTACATTTTGTCTGGATCATTGGAAACCTAATAGAAATAACTGGATGTTGTAGGCTGGGCGTGGTGGCCCACACCTGTAATCCCAGCACTTTGGGAGGCCAAGGTGGCTGGATCACCTGAGGTCAGGGGTTTGAAACCAGCCTGGCCAACATGGCAAAACCCCATCTCTGCTAAAAAATAAAAAAATTAGTTGGGCATGGTGGTGGGTGCATGTAATCCCAGCCACTCCAGAGGCTGCGGCAGGAGAATCACTTGCACCAGGAGGCAGAGGTTGCAGTGAGCCAGGACTGTGCCATTGCATTCCAGCCTGGGCGATAGAGCAAGACTGTGTCTCAAAAAAAAAAAAAAAGAAATAACTGATGTAAACAAATAGTTTTCTAACATTGTATAGTTTCATTTTTAAGTCATGGTTTTATGGTATCTGATACTTTATTTAATGAAATAACATGTAGGAATTACCCGACTGATAATGAACAGTAAAAAATAGGTTTATCATGCAGATCATCTGCAGACCCTTCTCACAATAACTGCTCAATTTGCCCGTGTTCTTGACTGCAGTCCACAGCACATGCTAACCCAGTGCTTCATTCTTTCTGCCAGTTCCAAGGCTTCCTCTGTAACCTTGGACTTCGGTCATCTTGAGTTTGTTCACTTCTGTATAGTTTGTCTGTATTTCAAATGAAGAAGTTGCCCATCCCGTAGTTTATATTCTAACTGTGTAAACTCTTATTATAAATCTTTCCGTAAAAAAGCTTGGGCCGGGTACCTCACGCCTGTAATCCCAGCACTTTGGGAGGCTGAGGCAGGCGGATCACCTGAGGTCAGCAGTTCAAAACTAGCCTGACCAACATGGTGATACCTTGTCTCTACTAAAAATACAAAAAAATTACCCAGGCATGGTGGTGGGCACCTGTAATCCCAGCTACTTGGGAGACTATGACGTGAGAATCTCTTGAACATGGGAGGTGGAGGTTGCAGTGAGCCAAGATCGCGCCACTGCACTCCAGCCTGGGTGACAGATCGAAACTCTGTCTCAAAAAGAAAGCTTAAATTCCAGTGATGAAAATAATAGTTGAAACAATATCCGTTAATACTGGGTAAACCAAAATAAAACTATAACTTGAAAAAGAAAATCTGCATAGTTACATATATCGATGCTATCAATCAATGTCTATTTAAGATGAAGGAGGGACGGAGAACATCAAGTTTAAAAGCCAGTTATGAAGCATTTAAGAATAATGACTTTCAGCTGGGAAAAGAATTTTCAGTGGCCAGGGAAACAGCTGTCTATTCGTCATCTTCGGCACTTATGACAACATTAACACAGAATGCCAGTTCAGCAGCAGCTGACTCACGGAGTGGTCGAAAGAGCAAGTAAGTTTTATTGCTATAGTAGCCGCACACCTTTACTGAGTACTTGGTCTACTTGATACCTCAGCCAGGCCTGTCTATGTTAAAGGCAGGATATAATGGATTAAAATGAACCTTGCAAAGGTGAGGAGACATGCAGTTTTCATTTATACTGCCATATTTTGAAGGGATAAAATCTTTAAAAAGTGTTACAGTTGTTTTTAATTTTTCTACAGTCTTAAGTTTGTTAATACATGACTTCTATTTATCTTCTTTCATTCATTAAGATAAGTATTTTATGTAACTGCTTTTCATTTATTGCCCTTTATTTTGCCATGTGTTTCAAGGTAAATTAATGCATGAAATGTAAATTATATCCTGGTGATTTTTTTAAAAAACAAGATTTTTCATTTTGATTAACAGCAAACAAGGCATGTTAATTCTTAGTCTTGGGTCCCAAAAATTAATGGTATGAAAATATCCCTAGATTTATATATGAGACTTGGGACGATTTTATAAGCTTTAGATATGAAAACTTAATAGCACTTATCACTGTCTATCCCAGGTAACTGTGGGTTTATACATAATGAAAGTTAAAATGCTAGCCAAAATAATTAGTTACATAGTATTTATGTTATCTGTATTTTTAAGTGTTACATTTTCTGTGAAGTAATCCCTAAAAGAATGGTCAATATGAAATAACCACAACAGAAGTGTCATCTTAAAAATTAATTAATCTTAATAGTGTAAGTTTAATGTGATTTCTTATGATAAAATTTAGAATTTAAATAATGTATGGCTTAGCGGTAAATTACTTGTAAATTTTTACACTCTTGGTTCCCTGCCATACATGTGGTAGGTGTTCATACATCAGTTGATGGTTATAACCACTTACATCAAATGTTTTTGTGTATTTGTGCTTTAGGTTTTGATGCAGAATATTCAGTTTACTTAAAAATACAAATAATGTCTGCAAAGTAGCCGTAACTTGTATTATTCAAAGTGCTACCTACAGTTTAAGTCATTGGTAAACCCAAATTACTTTAACTTAGACTTTAATTTATACATTTGATGTCGTTTCATTTTATACCATTTATTTAGGAGTTATTCTATGGTAGCTTCTGGATCGTGTGCAAATAAAACTTACACTGTGTTTTTTCAGAAACAACAACAAGTCTTCAAGCCAGCAGTCATCATCTTCCTCCTCCTCTTCTTCCTTATCATCATGTTCTTCATCATCGACTGTTGTACAAGAAATCTCTCAACAAGCAACTGTAGTGCCAGAATCTGATTCTAACAGTCAGGTTGATTGGACTTACGACCCAAATGAACCTCGATACTGCATTTGTAATCAGGTAAAAGTCTGGTATATGTATAAAAGTAAAATTTGAATAAACTAGAAAAAAGAGAACTATTTCATTTTTAAGCACTTTTTAAAATTCGCTTAAAATACCCTTGCTTTATTTGTATACTTTTCTCCCGCTTCGTACAGAAGTGACATTTACTGTAAATATTGAATATAAAGAAAACTGTTAGCCATAATCTCAGCCCTCAGATATAATCTGTAACTAAACATTTTTGATGTACCACCCCGTGCACATTGGCTTCCTTAATAAAATACAACAGACTGGGTGGCCTAGACAACAAAAAATTATTTTCTCACAGGTATGAAGACCAGAAAGTCCAAGATCAAGGTGTCCACTGATTCAGTTCTGGAAGAGGGCTCTCTTCCTAGATGCAGACTGCTGCCTTCTCACTGAGCCCTCACATGGTAGATAGAGGGAGAAAGTGTGCTCTGGTGTCTCTTCTTATAAGGGCACCACCAGCCTTGTCAGAGTAGGGCTCCACTCTATGACCTTATTTAACCTCTACCACCTCCTCATAGGTTCTGTGTCGAATTACAGTCACTTTAGGGGCTTCAGCATTGAGACATAAGCATGCATTTCGTAACACGTGTCTATGCAGATACGCACACGTCTGTGGGTGTAAGTTTGTCCGTAGGAACCACAGTGTATACTTTCCTGTTACTGGCTTTTTTCTCTAAATCAGGTATATTGAACATGATTTTTCTTTAAGATCATATTTTTAATCTTCACATAGTTATCTCTTATACCATGCACTATAGTTTATTTAACCAATACCTAGCTATAGATTATTGTATTGGTATTAATTTGTTTGAAATTGGGGATAATATTACAATAGACATTTTTTAAATGTAATCCATTATATATATCTAATTTATTGGTTAATTTTTTAGAAATAAAATTAGGCTGCAAATATTTGACAGACTACCAAAATATATTTTCTAGAAATTTATTACTAAAAATTAATGAACATGTCTGTTTGCTAAACCCTGTCCAACACTGGATATTATTTTCTTTTAAAAACCAAGCACCAATTTGACAGTTTTATATCATGATTGTTTTAATACACACTAGTATTAAAGTTGGACATTTTTTGACCATTTTTATTTCTTACATTATGAATTGACTCCTGATGGTGTTGGCTGATTTTTCTGTTGTTTTTGTTATGTACCTTAAACGTTTGCTTGATTTAGTTTTTTTTATAATTATAAAATTTTATATAGTTGTGACTATTAATCTTTTTCTTTATGAAGTGAGCCATGAATTATATACTTAGAAGAGCTTTTGCTCTTATTTCCACAAAAATTTGTCTTGTATAATATTTTCTCCTAGATTTTGTATAGTTTTGTCTAGTTCTTTATGTGCTTCAGTTTCTTCCCATTTAAATCTTAGTCTATCAGCATACTATTGGGTCTTACATTATGAGTTGCCAATCTGATTTTTTAAAATTGTAACAATTTGTTAGGTGTTCTACTATCACCTGATAAACATTTTTCGGTACAAATGATTAAGGAAAGCATATCCTGTATCCTGGCAATGAAAGTAGATTACTTGCAAAAGAACAAAATCAGACTGAAGCTAGAGATTTCCTCTGTAACACTAAAAATCTTGAACGTGATGCAATGTCTGTAGAACTTTCAGGGAAAAATAAAGAGCACCCCAAAACTTAATATTCAGAGAAATTATTTCTATGTATAAGACCATGTAAATATTTTTTCACTTATGCAGAGAATCAAAAGGTGTGCTATCTAGTTAATCCTGTCTGAAAAATTATTCAGTCCACAGGGAACTTCAGTGAACTCATGAATTAGGAAGTTATACCCTGAAATGCTGGTGATAAACAGCAAAAGAAAAATGAGAAAGGACATAAAATAGATAATTTTAGAAATTTCAAGGAAGTGGTCTATTCATTGCAAAAATTTAAATGACCTAATGTGACCGAAGAAGTAAAAACTTTCAGTAAATAAATAATCAAGAAAGAAACTTAAAATTTTTGCAGTAAGAACTACCCAGAAAGATGACTGCTTCGTCCAGGTGGTTTATATCACAAGTCCTCCTAGACATCCGAAGGGCAGATAATTCCTGTGCATTTCCTCTCACCCTTGACCCCGCCCCCAAATGAGTATTTAAGGAAAAAACTATTACACCTTGATTCTCAGTGTAATTGTATATGCAGTGTATTTCTCTCTATTTTCCAAAAGGATCATAAACAGTTAATTGAGATTTAGGTGTTTGTTACATAGTCATAATACATTTAATTTTTTTTAACTAGGTATCTTATGGTGAGATGGTGGGATGTGATAACCAAGATGTAAGTATTAAATTTTTCTATATAGGAATGAAAAAAAAAATCACAGGCTGTTATTACTTGAATATTTGTCTTATTTGCTGTATGGCTTGGTCTAAGAAAACAGGTTTGCAGTTACATTCATTATGTTATGCTAATGCTAAAATATTCCTCTTCAAAATAGGGCAGTGTCCCTTAATGTGTTACCTATTTTAGTTTTTAAAATGAATTTTATGGTTGTATATACAGATTGTTTGTCTCATAAGTTTATGTTGTATGAAAATTATAAATACCTTCTTTCCCTTTGCTAAAAAATACTGTTTACTGGAATCCAATTCATTTATCACATTGAAAAAAATGGAATTTTAAAACAATTCATTCTTTTAGACTGTACCGTGCTAAAGCAAAGGGTAGGATAATTGAGGATCTAATGTGAGATTATCTTCCTCTCATGAGTATAACATTTTTTACTGTACTCTGCAATTGTCAGCTGATAAGAGCCACCTCTGATACAAAAAATAAAGGAGATTTGAAAGGAAGGAATCCTGGGTTTCAGGAGACTTAATTTTGGTTAGAGATACAAGTTTTTTATTGAATACTGAGAATACTGTTATCTGGTAATTTTGACTTCCTCCTTATTTTCATATAGCTCAGTCCCCATTTCTTCCACTTTTACTCCAGAGGGGTAACAGAACCCTGAAATTTTACAGAAGTACTAATTAGTAGTGACAGGATCTTAAGATTAACAAGAGTTTTAAATTTGTAAAACAATCTGAAGATTAAGGGGGTTGCCTAGGTGCATTAAAACTCTAGACTTCATAGGGTCACAGCAACATGCTTGCACAGATGGGGACAGACCCTCATTCTATTTCCCTATCTAGAATGCCTTGTAGGCTGTTTGTGGTTATTGCGAAAACAATATTGCCCAACCACCTCAAGAACATCACTGGGGCAGTTAGTAAAAATGACGATTGAGATTTCTGTGTTTAGCAGCATCATGCTTCTCTGATTCTTCTCATTCTCAGTTTGTACTCTTCTGAGTGCCAAGACTTCCCATGAAAGAGTAAAACTGCTTAATGCGTTTTAAAGAGGAATACTTTTTCTCTCTGTTTCTAGGAATAGAAACACCCAGGTAGGAAATCCAGGGCATAAGACATAAATTAATGTCCTTAATTACAATCAACTTATTCCACTTAATGAGAGAGCAAATAAGGCTGAATATTAAATAAAATCTTAAGATATATTTACCTTCTACATAGAAGACTTATCTCACTTCTTTTTGCCCATGAAAGTTGAAAATCAGTGAGTTTTCGTTAATTATTTAGGATTATAGGACTAGATTACATGGACCTTAGGGTTCTTGAAGAGGCATAATTTTTCTGTGCCTCCATTTCTTCATCCATGAGGCTTATTGCTTAGACTAAATGATGTCTAACTGATCAAGATCTAAAGATTCTGATGTCACACATCTAATTATTATTAAATTAAATGGATTATTCATTCCCCTGAGTATATTTTAATATACTCTCTCGTCTTTAGAAGTACTGAAAGCTTGTTTCTTGCAATTGTGCTTTCTAGTGTCCTATAGAATGGTTCCACTATGGCTGTGTTGGATTGACAGAAGCACCAAAAGGCAAATGGTACTGTCCACAGTGCACTGCTGCAATGAAGAGAAGAGGCAGCAGACACAAATAAAGGTGGTTCTTTTGTTTGAGGAAGAAATAAACTTCAGCTGAACATTTTATATAGGACTTTAAAAAGAAGAAAAGAGAAAAAAGAAACAATGCATTTCCAGGCAACCACTTAAAGGATTTACATAGACAATCCTATAAGATCTTGAACTTGAATTTTATGGGTTGTATTTTAATAATGTAAGTAAATTATTTATGCACTCCTGGCGTGCTATGAATATTATTCCAGTTAGCCTTTGATTATTTCAGTGGCCAACATATGCAGACATTTGTACTCCTCAACCATTTTCTCAAAGTAATGGGCATTCTATAATTTAGACTTCAAGGAATTTCAATGATGAAGATTTTAAGGAAAGTATTTTATATTCAACAGGTATATTCTGCTGCATGTACTGTACTCCAGAGCTGTTATGTAACACTGTATATAAATGATTACAAAAAAAAAAGTCAGTGCTTCTAAAAAGAATTTAAGATAATGGTTTTTAAAATGCCTTTATAATAAGCTTTGTTTCTTTGTGAAACTAATTCAGCAGGCTGAAGGAAATGGTTCATGTGATAAAGTGGGCTGGTATCCTCTAGAGTACCTGGGTACATAAACAGAAACTCCTGTAGGTAAAAAGGAATTTGTGCCATTAGTCTTTCTATGTTTCTGCATCCAGATAGAGTGCAGTTCATGAGGGCGGGGGTGGGGGACTGAAGGGGAAAGGGTGTTAAAGTGATACATTTTTATACCAAATGTGTTTATTTTTTTGTGCAAGTAATCCTTAAAATTGCAATTGTATTAGGTGTTAAAATAAAGTTTTTAAAAAATTACTTGTATTTATACTTTACATAATGAAAATTTCTGAATTCCAATTAACTTTCAACTTTCATAATCTAAAAAGAATCAGAGACCCGGGACACAGAATACTGTGTAATCTGTGATGTCTTTAATCATGTTTGGAATTTGTGATATGAGAATATAGGAAAGATATTTTTAATGTTCATTTGAAATGCCAATGTATTTTTTTTTTGGAACATCTTTCTGGCTTTTCCTTGGGTCTAAGAGACATGAAAGAAGTTTAAGTACAGCAGTTAAATAATGGTTATGGGTGATTTGACTGGAGGCAATGTAGTCAAATAAAGAGACCCTCCTGGTTGGGAGCTTAAAATTCAGCTATTTTTGATTCTACCACATACTGGTATGACAGTTAATTCAAATTTTGTATTGCTTTGGGCCTTATTACACCAGGGTGATGCTGGCTATAGAATAGGTCTTATTCTATAGGTGCTATTTAAATTATAAATTTACATAGTGGAGGTTTTATTTAAAGTATAATATTGAGTCTAGTCGATAGAAAAATCCTTAACTTTTAAGATACTTATTACATCATATTGTAATGAGTATTGAAACTTAACATCAGATTTCTGCTTTAATTAAACCACTTATGAGCCTCTTAGAACTTATTCAGGAAACAGTACAAAATCTATGCAAGGCTACCCAAAGGGTGTGAGGTAGATAGGGGATGTCAGAGGTTTCTTCAAGCCTTGAGATTCCATGATTCTGAGCTGCCACAGTCTGATTTTGTAACTCTGACAGACCCCTAAATAAGTTAGGTTCATTTTATAACTCTGACAGAACCCCTAAATAAGTTAGGTTCATTTTATAACTCTGACAGAACCTCTAAATAAGTTAGGTTCATTAGTTCAATATGTACTCATGATTTCATAATATCATGATTATGATTTCATGATACTCAGTATTTTCATGAAGATTTATAACCCTTTAAGAAGTGATAAATAATGTAGTATTTAATTAGTTTATCAAAGTAGATTACCTAGAGATGCTCAAATGTATGATTACATCCTCTATATATTATGACCATTCCAAACTCACTCATTTTATAGAATTAGTCAAAGGAAAAAGCCTTATGTGCAGCCTTATTTGAAGAGAAAGTTCTTTGTGTGAGTCAGGAACATCCTGTTTTCCAGCTGCTATGTCTCCTTTCAGTGTGTGAATTCCACTCCTTACCAAATCACTCATAAAACACTTTGACAAGTTTTAAACTCAAACATTGAATATTTTATGAAGCATGTGTAAAGAAATAAACCAAAATTTGGTGCAGGTATTTAGTAAAGGCTAGAACCTGTTAATATCTGAGACATATAATGGGCCCAAACATGGAACTACCTCATCCCCCCCCGAAAATGTGGCCAACTATTAATATTTTTTGTGACATTGACACCAAGGGGCATAGTAAGTATTTTTGGTATTATAAAATACACATTCAAAATCTCTGCTGTACAAAACTCATGTAATAATTGGTGGAACAAAATTTCCAAATGTGGGTTCACAGTTCATAGGTGGTGAAAATTGAGGCCTTACTGCTGTGGAGTGTATATCAAAATGTTCATGGAGACACATTTGAAGCAATAAATGGCTTAATTAAATGCCAAAATAAAGCTGAGTGTTTGATAAGTACACAATCATTCTTTTCAAGGGCAGTTTATATTTTTTTCTCTTCTCCTTTAAAGCAAATTCCACATTTTAGGTTTTTAACCATCTTAGGTTTGTGCAATTTAGTGCCCTTTGTCCTTAGACTTTAGAAATAGTCTTATTGATCTAATTATTTTAATCTTCTGCAAATAAATGTGTAACAAACTTGGATTATAAAGGAGTAAGATACTCTAATGTGTAGACATTGCAATGGTTTTCCCCTCAGCTTTCTCATATAAAAATACACATATTTTTTAGCAGATGGGTTTTAAGAGAAAAAAACCCTCAAAAATATTATTTAATTTTACAAATATTAAGCACCTAGGTGCTGAGAGTAGATGAAGGTATTGTATGTGTTTGTGTGTGAGGGAGTTTGTGTGGGCAGACATGTTAAATAATTGTGATATTTTGATAAATGCTATAATGGATATACAAAGCACTGGGAGAACACTGGGAGGCAGGGAAATTGATTGCTGACATAATCAAGAAGACTTAACAAAGGAGGTGTCATTTGAACTGAGTCCTACAAACATGTAGTAGAGACGGTGTTCACGGCAGAAGAAACTCTTCACATGCATTCTGGAGCTTAAGGCAGTCTGGAAAGAGTGGCCATGAGGCAGGTAGACATAGTGTCAGGTAAAGAAGCCAAAAGACAGCAAGAGTATTCATGAAGAGCAGGAATTGTTTGTTATAGGAATCAGAGGCTAACATTTACATATTGTTGGTTAACTGTAGTTAGGATTATTTTAACAGTTTAATGAAATCATAGCAATTCCCTTATTAGGATTATAAAGTAGGGATGGCTTAAAATTAATTAGTCTGTAAATTGGAAAATGTTAAATTTAGGTGGATCTTTTCCCTTGATTTTTGGAAGACAAATTAGAATTGCTAGTCAAGATTTTTAGATTTCCTTATTTAGATAATAAAATTGAAACTGCTGAACCAGTTCATAGCTTTTGATCCAGGATCTTCATATTCATGATTTGATTCTGCTACAGAGAAATAAGTTTAAAGTGATTTAAAGATGAACTAACTTCAGATTTCTGGGATTTTCTTTTGAGTCAGGGTTTCGCTCTGTCACTCAGACTGGAGTAGAGTGGCACAATCAGCTCTCTGCTGCCTCTTCCTCCTGGGCTCAAATGATCCTCCTGCCTCAGCCTCCTGAGTAGCTGGGATGACAGGCATGCACCACCAACGCCTGGGTTTTATATTTTTTGTAAAGACCGGGTCTCAGTTGCCTAGGTTAGCCTTGAACTCCTGGCCTTAAGTGTGTATTTTAAATTGAAGTTTGATATAAGAAAAATGTGAGAGAGCAGCCTCTGGCTATTTCTGTTTTAAGCAGTAAGTCACATATACCTTCTAAGTCTGTGTTTTAACTAATAGATTGTTAGAAGCCTACACATTATTAAAATATTTATTTGAAAGCAATTTAATTATTAATGAATTCTCCAGAGCTGTATAATTCAGTTTTTAGTTAATTAGGTACCACCTTTAACTTTCTTTACTGTTAAAGGAAATTACAGAGGAGAACATTATAATCATTCATCTTTCTGCTGCTTATTAAAAGTTTGAAGATTTGATGAAACTTACTGTCGGTGTGGGACGTGAGAGTGTGGATGCATATGTCTGTTGATGTGTTGTTTATTCACTTTCTCCACCTCTACCTGCCTACGTTAATGAATACAAATAGCTCTACTTAGGAAGTTTCATACTAGTTGCTACTAATCTTTGAGGATGGACTAATTTAAAAAATTCACAGGTTTAATATCAATTGTAGGCAAAAACTAGTGGTCATATGCTAATTATTTTCTGCGTGGTTCAATCTGCTCTGGTACAGGAACCCTCCATACTGTATGTTAAAATAAGAAGAATTGTAATAGGCATCAAGTTACCTAAAAAACTGTAAAAGTCAAATGTAATGCCCCAGACATTTGACCTGAACATAAAAATATGAGGCAATCCATTAGAATGATTTAATTAATATTATAACTAGTTTTAATAATTAAACTTACTTGGTTTTAATAAAACTAGTTAAAATATTAGTAAAGTCATTCTAATGGATTGCCTCATTTTTATGCTCAGGTAGATATGAGGTATTAGTAAAATCTAACTCTGATGAGGTATGACCTCCCTGGTATATATCCCATTCGAGTTTATCCAAGTTTATAATTATATCCTTGAAGTATTTGTGTATTTGTCTTTAATATGATCATTCATTTTTTTCTTGAATACTTTGAGGAACTGGATGTATTTTTCGTGGGTTTCCCAAATGTGCCAAAACACATTTTCACTTTACCAGTGGTCACGATGCATAAATGTTTTTAAAAGAGTGATCTGTTGAAAGAAGAAAAGAAAAGCTTATATATTGTTAGAGATCATATGGTTTAAATTAGATTTAGGAGTAACCTTTTGACTTTATGTGATGGAATGTGACCAAAGGGCTATACTCAGTGAAAGAATGTTTCCTTCTGACCCAGCCAGCTGAGCTATGTGAATGCCAGTATTCAGTGAAGTGATGAAACAAAACCTACCTCCCTCCCATCCACATCACACACATCCATTTTTAGATAGTCAAATGACACATATAAAAGTTTTAAAATACCTTTTATTTTCTGAAAATGGAAATAAGTGTTTGAATTGTTATTACATTGAAAAAGAAAGGAAAGAGGAAAAGAAAATGAGAAAAGAAGCTAAATTATGTGGCTGTCTTGAGACATTTAAATATATATATACAGTTTCCAAAGAGTCTTATCAGAGAAGATACATGAGATTCCTAATGGAGATCATTGTTTGATCTGTCATATAACAAATGAAAGTTAAATTTTTTCATGTTTTATATATTATTGAACTGATAAAAACAGAAATTCTGGCTCCATGCCAAGGTATAAATTTATGTCCTGAAGAAAGTAATGAAAATAAATAGTATAATTCATTGGGTTAAATATTTACCCAATGAAATGTTTACCTCACCTCACGCACCCTCCCCCATTTTACATGTGTGCTCACTAATAGAAGTGATTCTACCTGTCTCTCTTAGAATGTGTGTGTACATATATACAGATATATCTCTATATATTTATATATAATCTTTTAGAGGATGCAAATTTCAAAGACAAATTTGAGAGGCTTAAAGGAAATTAGACGCCCGAACTTGCATTTGTTTTGAGTAGCAGTATAATTACACACTCAGGAAATGGCTACAATTCTAAGGAAGCTAATCATGTCATTGCCTTAAGCTGCTGAGGCACTCACTATTCTAACTTAAGTAACAGACAAATCTCAAGCAGCCATATGTTAAAAAAAAAAAATGCAGCAACTATTTGTTCAGTTAATTTTAAGTTCTTTCATCTTGGCACTTTAAAGAAATTCTTATCTATATAGATTTTGGGGGTACACATGCAGTTTTGTTACATGGTTCTACTGCGTAGTGGTGAAGTCTGGGCTTTAAGTGTATCTGTTGCACAAATAGTGAGCATTGTACCCAGTAGGTAATCTTTCAATCCCCTTCCACCCCACCCTCTGTTTGGACTCTCTAATATCTGTTATTCCACATGTGTGTCCATGTGTAGCCATTGTTGAGCTCCCACTTATAAGTGAGAAAATGTGGTATTTGATATCATAAGTTATTTCACTCAGGAAAATGCCCTCCAGTTCCATTCATGTTGGTGCAAAAGACATTATTTCATTCTTTTTTATGGCTGAAGAGTACACCATGGGCTGTGTGTGTGTATTTTTTAAGTCCGATCCACTGTTGACGGACATTTAGATTGATTCCATATCTTTGCTGTTGTGACTAGTGCTACAGTAAACATATGGGTACAGGTATCTTTCTGAGTAATTAAGTTTCCTGTCCAAGGAATAATTAGGCCTGACGGCCTGACCCTTCTTACCTTCTGAGATCAGATGAGATCAGGTGTGTTCAGGGTGGTATGGCTGTCGACTGATAGAATGATGTCTTTTCCTTTGGGAAGATACCCAGTATGGGATTGCTGAATCCAATGGTAGTTCTGTTCTTAGTTCCTTGAGAAATATCCATAGGGTTTTTCGTAGAGATTGTATTAATTTACTTTCCCATCAACAGTGTATAGTGTTTCCTTTTCTCTGCATCCTCACTAACATCTTTTGTTTTCTGGGTTTTTTTTCTTTTGTTTATATTTTGTTTTGTTTTAGACAAAGCCTCCCTCTGTTGCCCAGGTGGGAGTGCATCTCAGCTCATTGCAACCTCTGCCTCCTGGGTTCAAGCAATTCTTGTGCCTCAGCGACTTGTGCACCACCATTCCCAGCTAATTTTTGTACATTTAGTAGAGATGCAGTTTTGCCATGTTGGCCATGCTGATCTTGAACTCCTGGCTTCAACTGCCTCGACCCCCCAAAGTGCTGGGGTTACAGGCATGAATCACCATTTCAGTCATCTTTTGGTTTTTGACTTTTTAGTCATAGACATTCTGACATGTAAGATGGTATCTCACTGTGGTTTTAATTTGCATTTCTCTGATTAGTGATGTTGAGCATTTTTTCGTATTTTTTTTTTTTTTTGGCCACTTGTATATCTTCTTTTGAAAAGTGTTCATGCTCTTTGCCCATGTCTTAATGGGGTTATCTGCTTTTTTCTTGTTGAGTTGTTTGAGTTCCTTGTAGATTATGGATCTTAGCTCTTTGTTGGATACACAGTTTCAAATGTTTTCTCCCATTTCCAGGTTGCCTGTTTGTTGATTATTTCTTTTGCTGCACAACCTCAGCACTTTTAGCATTTTGTGCCAAATGATTCTTTGTTGTGGGAGCTGTCCTGTATGTTGGAGAATACATTTAGCAGCACTCCTTCCCCTATACACTAGGAGTTGGTAGCATCTCTGCCACTCCCTTACCATCACCTGCCAGTTGCGACAACCAAAAATATCTCTAGAATTACCAAATGTCTCCTATTTGGGGAGACAAAGCTGCCTCTTCTTAGTTAAATGTTACCATGATGTGAAATGTGGAAAAATTGAAATAATACTGGAAAACATTTGAATTTATGATGTGTAGAATTCTATAAATACAATTTTTTAAACAATCATTTGCCAAGGATGCTAGATGCCCCCAGGGGATGGAGATGAGTAAAATCTTCTATCATAAGCAGTTTGTATGGCAAAGGATTGTAAGTACACTAGTAACTAACATACAGCACAAATGTAATGAAAATAATTTTGGTACTGATGCAAGTAAATTCAAAATGCCTATTAAAAAGAGTAAGTTGTAAAAAATAAAGTGACCAGTGGAAAACTGTGGAGAACTGAAAATGTGTATGTGCCATTTAAAACAGGCAGCACCAAGTGTTAGCATAGGGAAATCCCAGGTGATTTGTATTCTCAGAAACACAGGTCTAATGTACAATCAAAGATTGAAAGCATTTAGTTTGGAGGATTTAGTCTATCTGGACTGTTCATTCATCTAGAAACTTACAAAGAGACTGTAGCATGTGTCTGTTCAAACAAAAATTAAGAAATAGTAGCGAAATGAAGAATTTTCACTGTGGCATTTTACTTCCATGTGTAAACTGGACAAATGCTGTGTGCGAGGGGAGTCCTGCAAGTTCTTCATATCACCCTTCGACACAATTCACGGACTTTGTCATATCCTGCTGTCACCCTTCAGAGCCTAGAGTGTTTTTAGGACCACTGAAAAGGAAGATGGAAATCTTCATTTTAAAAAAAAATGCATAGAAAGCTTCATAGAAGATTCACGGGTCTTAAATTGAAGTTCGTAGTCTGTAGAAAAATTATACTCTTTGTATATAACTCTGTAGTATAATACATCATCAGGTGTATTTGCAAATACCTTAACTGAATACAACATTTGTCTCCTAAGGGACAGTAAAGACTCCAAGGCAGGAATCTGACATTTCACATAGATTTAAAATTAAATCTTACATGTGTTTTACACTAATGATAACCACATATATTTTACTCATGTTGTTGTCTTTATCCCAACTAAAAAAGGAGATTTTGTGTTTTGAATTTACAATAGAAGGTAGTGGTAGGATAACAGAATTCTCAGATAATTGGAGACAATGGTCATCCTACCCTGAATACCATATCTTCATTAACAAATCTGGGAAAGAAATTTTTTGGATTCCTACTGTGTTCAGATAAAGGCTAAATAAACTGTTAAACTTGGAAATGATAGCCCTTCTTGATCTGTACCTAACACTATTTTCCAGCTGTCTCTCAATGGTCTTCCACTAAGACATAAGAACTTTAGTTTCCCTCTTGGCAGGAGTTGAAATCTTTGCGACTCGTTAGGGCCCAGTTGAGAAGTGGCTACTTTTTTCTTATTACCTCTCAAAAGATGTGTATTCCTTATTTTGATTCTCCATGATGCTTGGAATATACCCATCTTCTTGTGGCGGGGACTGCTATCTATTTATCAGCCTTACTTCCTTTTCCTCCTGGGCATGTAGCTAGACCTCATTTCCGTTAGGTGGATCCATATAGGCTCTGTACAATAGAATATAACACTAGAGATATATGCCAATTTGAAGCTTGGCTCATAAAAGACCTCCCACACAATTCATCATGCCCTTTCTCATTCACTGTCTGCTAATGGTATGCAGAGGATCCCAGTGGGTATCCAAGAGTCTAGACTCTGGAAAGTCACCAGGTGGAAGGACCTTAGGTACCAAATGTCTTAGAGGAAACTGTCAAACACTGAAAAATGATGTGAGTGAGAAACGAGCCCTTATTGTATCAAGCCAATAAAACCTTAAGGTTATTTGTTTCAGCAGTTATCCTACGATGACTAATTCAACAGTGTGTTTCTTATATTTTAGTTGTTTATAATATTTGTCATATGTCTTCTGTTTTTCCCAGCACCTAGGATGATGTTTCTGCATAGTTGAGATTCAGTGTGTCATTCAGGGTTTAAAAACAAATTATGTTCATAGCTTATGGGACAAGTTCTAGAGTCAGCATTAGATAAGAGGTGATAAGAGCTGAGAAGACAGCTGTCGAACTTTTTAGGGAAGACGTGCTGGAAGGTTAGAGAACAGGCACTGCTGATAAGACTTCCCAGCACTTAATTCATGACGTCACTGCTAGTAACTACAGCTGGATTTTACCTTATCATAGTCAGATAATATCTTGAAAGGGAAAGGCAATTCCCTGCAGGAAAGCAACAGAGCCCAGAATCTGAAGACAGAGAGGGAAATCTATGTCAAAATGTGTCCCTAAAAGCATATATTTTCATAGCCTAGGGTGACCTTTGAGGTCATTAGTTGATCCCCGAAACCCCTGTTTTATGAGAAAGATGAAACTCCTGGAGTACAGAAGTATGTAACTTTCCCAGAGTTTCTGATCCAACATTGGAATCTTCCATTATAAATACTTTTATTCCTCTAGTTGAAAAAATAAATTAAAAAAAAAAAAAAACCTTCTTCAAACAATTATTTGAGTGTATACTTTCCTCATCCCCATTCCATGCCAAAGACCAAATGAAATGTGTGGTCTATTTTTTGTATATTTTGTGTTGGAGAGGTTCGGAGAGAAATACTGTTCTGTTTTGTCCAAGTTCAAAATGATAGGATCCTGAAAGGCCTGTTACTGTATTGTCCCAGATTAATCTGCTTAAACAGAGGTTCTTGAATACTGAAATTATTTAGTGTAAAGTGTACTTTATGAAATTATATGCACAAAAGCATTTAGTGTGAAACACTGCCAGAATACACAAGCTCATGGTTCTAGTGAATATTTACCCTCTCACCCCATCCATAAACTAACTTGTTCTCTGTCTTTATTATGCCCTGTTTTGTGTGTGTGTGTGTGTGTGTGTGTGTTTTGTTGTTTTTGAGACAGGGCTTCACTCTGTTATCCAGACTGGAGTGCAGTGGCACAACCATGGTTCACTGTAGCCTCGACCTCCCCAGGCTCAGATGATCCTCCTACCTCAGCCTCCTGAGAAGCTGGGACTACAGGCATGCACCAACATGCTTGGCTAATTTTTTTATTTTTTGCAGAGATGAAATTTTACCATGTTGTCCAGGCTAGTCTCCAACTCCTGGGCTCAAGCGATCCTCCCACCTTGGCCTCCCAAAGTGCTGAGATTACAGGTGTGAGACATTGTGACAGGCCTCGTTCACTCTTCTGACTCCTTCAGACTCTATCATTCAATTGTGTGTATCCTACCGCCCAGGTGTAAATACCTCCCAGGTGGCGTCTCCACATGCTGCCTTCATGCCACCCTTGCCCTCGTCCTCCCAAACCAGCATCTGTGGGTGAGTACACTTCTACCTCAAAGACGGAAGAGAAGAGAACTAAGATCTCATGTTTGCTTTTCGTATTTAGATGCTCCACAGGGCTCATTATTTGATAATTATCTTTTTATGTGTCTGACACCACATCATGCATAAGCTCAGTGAAGACAGAGCACAGCCTCAGGATTCAAAACTTAACGGACATGCATTCAACATTCATTTATCCAGCAAATACTCACAGAATGCTTAGGTGCTTTCCATATATTGTTTCATCTAATTGTACCAACAACACTTGAAAGGAAACATTAGTATCCTTATTTCACAAATGAGGAAAGCTGAGACTTCAGTGAAACCACTTGTTTAAGAACAGCTGATAAAAAGTAGTGACATGAGTCATATCCAGATTGGGCTTACTCTAAAATCAGATGCTTGTGGATCACCTTAGTCTATTGGGTGATGATTGCTACTATATCTCCTTTCCACCTCTTGCTTGTACCTTCTGATGCTACCTCTTTTCTCTCTTGCAAATATTTCTTTCCTTCTTTTTTTTTTTTTTTTTTTTTTTTTTTTTTTTTTTTTTTTTTTTTTTTTTTTTTTTTTTTTTTTTTTTTTTTTGAGATGGAGTCTCACTCTGTCACCCAGGCTGGAGTTCAGTGGCACAATCTCAGCTCACTGCAACCTCTGCCTCCCTGGTTCAAGCAATTCTCTGCCTCAACCTCCTGAGTAGCTGGGATTACAGGTGCCCGCCACCACACCCAGCTAATTTTTTGTATTTTTACTAGAGAAGGGATTTCACCATGTTGGCCAAGCTGGTCTTGAACTCCTGATCTCATGATCCACCAGCCTCAGCCTCCCAAAGTGCTAGGATTACAGGCGTGAGTCTCCCTTGGACTCAGTAGTTAAAATGGGGAATCGGGTTCTTCAATCTACTAGAATCCTTTCTGGGATACTAATTTTCCACCTTCTTCCCAATTTCTATTATTTGAAGTCTAGCTATATCATCTTCTTAAATTTTTTAATACTGTTGTCTTTCATTTCTCCCAACCCAAAGGCAATTTTATTTTAGCATCTGATTTACTCTTTCTTCTGTACCTTGTTCTTAACAATTAAATAATACATACAAATAACTTCAGATTTCCCAGACTCTGTTTTTCAGACTTCTTGCCTTAACAGAACTTAACAGAACCGTCTGATTCTTTATCACTCAGTAACAGCTTTGTCACACCCTGGATTCCAATTTAGAAATCTCATAATTCTTATTATCTCTCAGATCACATTACATCCACCAAAACTATATGTCCTGCAACACCATTGTTTAGCCATTTTCTCTTAAAGCTCTTTTGGCTTCTAAAAGTGAAGCATCACTTTATTTTTCTCTACTCCATTTGTCATGAGATTAAAGACTCTGAACCTATAAATTAAATAATATTAAAGCCACTGGAGGTGATACATGCAAGGGCTTGGGATAAATCTACCGTCCGTGTGGATATTTCTTCTGTAATATATGAATTAATTTGTTCTATAAGGCGTTAAAAGGGTTTCTCACAAGAACTTCAGATGCCCAGTTCTCTGAATCTGTGATAGCTGGACACCCCTAGGGGGCGCTCCGTTTCTCAAAATACAAGCGGCTGACAGCAGCGTACCCCTGGGTGGGGCTCACTCTAGGGGTGTGGCCTCACGGGAGAACCTCAGCCCACAAGAATTTGGCTTAGAAACAAGTTTGAAAACCTCTTCAGATCCAGAGCCTTTAAATAATGCCCGCTATGAGCCTAAGACAGCCCTGGGTATCCAGAGTTCGCAAAGCAAGGACTGGGAGAGGGAGCAACATGCACTAGACTGATTTCCTTTCCCCTTGAGAGCCTCAGCAAAAGTGGATGGGGGTTTGCAGAATTGCGCTACCAGCAGAGTCCTCCCGAAGGTCTGCACATAATTCGATTAAGCTGATTCTGGACAAAGCCCACCGTGTACCTTTATCTACTGGGCAAAAGTTAACCCCCGACACCTGCAATGATCAACTCATTTCAGCAGCAAAATGTCAGGCCATAAAGTGTCAGGTCATTGAGAGACCAAACTATAGTCCAGGAAAGGAGTAATGAGAACATCTGTGACATGAGTTCGATTCTAAGGCACAGGGGCGACTGAGTAGTTCTGATGCTTGCTGTCTGAGGTCCAGACAGTACTCGTGACCCCCTTATCCTCAGAAGCGTAACCACAATACCCTGGAGTGAAGAAACTCCCAATCACTCATGGAGTCCACTTTAGTTTTGCCCTCGACCTTTGTCACCAATTGGCTGAGGCTATTTGTTTTTACAATTCTGTATTAGGAAAAAGAAGTTGTATAGAAGATCAGACACCAGATATGCTTCTGAATTCTGCAGCTCTGGGTGGGCGGCCTCATTTGGGGTTATGCTAGCTGCTGCTTCCAACGTGGGAAGCCCACCGTTTTGGAGCGAGAGCTGACAGCGCGGCTCCAGCAGCCCCCAGGGCCGGAGGAGCCCGGCCTTAGCTCCGCCCCGCTCAGCCCGGCCCGGGTGGCTGCGATGCCGAGGTCCTCTGCTCTCGCTGGGCGTGCAGCGGGCGCGCGCGCGCGTGTGTTTGTGTGTCTGCGTGTGTGTGTGTGTCTGTGTGTGTGTGTATGTGAGATGAATTGGAGTCATACGACTGGGTGTTTCCTTCCGAGTGGTTTTGATCAGCAATCCATTAGGAAATCATGAAAACTTTTTTTTTCTGGCTAAAGGATGAAAACTGAGTAAGTACATAAAACTTTGAACTTGAAACGGAATGAAACAAATACAAGCAAAAACCCTGACAGTACCCATGTCCATTCAAATCGTGTATGCCCTTTTTATGTTAAAAGCCGTGAACGCTTACAGGACAGTGGGGATTTAAAACTAAATGAAGGGGAGCATACAAAAGGCTGAAAGCAAGACTGCTTTAAAAACCGGAGGAAAATTGAGGAACTGCTAAGGCAACCTGGCCTGCGTTCAGCTGTGCAACAGGCACTTTGGGTTTTAACCTTTTGCATTCTTCATTGCTGTTTTCAGACTCCAGATTTACTATGGTGTTGTTTTCTCCCTTCCTGCAAAGCTGAGGCAGAGTCGGAAACCTTTACTGTGAGTTTAAAGATGTCAACATAAGGTATTAGTGGAGGCAACAGTTTGGCAGCCTGGGGTACACTCAGGTTATTCGTTACAACTATTATTATTCTGATGTCTTTTTTTAAACTCAGGTCATCCACTTTTGACTGTCATTCATGGAAGAGCTCTTTTTAAATGCCTCAGACTTTCGGGACCTATGATTCCTTGGCACAACCCTTTGGAAAATTCTTAAGCAGGGATGAAGCAAACTTGATTGGAGTTGTGGAAAAAGAAGACAGATTAGTATTTTTCATGCCGACAAAAAATAGCTGCTATGACTTTTTCCGCAACGTGGACAGGGGCCAAGTGAAGCTGAACTGGTCATGGTCTGTCGCCCAGTGTTCCCTTGTCGTCGGCGATTTTGCCCCCGACCCTTCTTAGTGGGCTTGGTGGTAGCAGTCTGTCTCTTCTACCAGACTCTGACCCTCCGAGGGACGAGGAAGCTCACAGCCGCTGGCCCTGGGGCTGTCCCACAGACATCCATTGAAACCCAGGCAAGCAGATGCAAGAAAGGATTCTCCCAGGACAAACAGTGCTTCCTTCTCTCTGGCAATGCCGAGGAAACCAGAAAGGTAAGGCTCTCATAAGCTTCATAGAGACAATTTCTGCAAAGACAGCAATCTGCTTCTCTGTTCTTTCTGTAAAACTAAAATTAACTTCCATGAGGTCTGAAAGGGATCCAGAGTGTAAACAGCCTAGAGAGTGACCTGTGACAGAGAAACACGTTACATAAGCTTCAACTTCTTATAGTTACTTCCAGAAAGTTCTGGCCTTACTTTATCTCTTAGGATTTCTCTTCATTTCAGTGGAATGAAGTAGGCAGTTTGGAGGAGGGGTAAAGTGATATGAATTCTTTCTAAAATGTCAGGATTCTAAGACATCTGAGGATTTACAATTCAAAACCATAAATCAAAGATTCAAAAACTTTGATAAACCTTGAGTGTTTCTTTTCTCCAGGCAGTCAGTATGAGTGCCCAGACCATACCAGACTCAAAGATACTCCAAAGTTTTATTTTATAATTAGCTAGATCGATTCTTAATTGGTGACCACATCTCTAAAGCAATATATTTACTTCTAAAGCATTTAAAGTAATAGTATAATAGGTTTCTTCAAAACAGTTGATATACTGTTTTATTGTTTATAGAATCAGGGAAATACAGATTATTCTATGTTTATATTATTCAGATAAACTACTAACCTTGTCAAGAGTTGAAAAAAAACCCACAGAAAACACACAAAATAACACAGAATCCCATGCATGCCAGTAAAATAATAACCTATAAAATAATCGAGTGTAAAACAGAATATGAACAAAGAAAAAGAAAAGAACTCCACCCCCAAAAAATCGTGGTGGCAAACCTACTAAATTTTAATGGTACGGCAAGTAGTATTGTAGCAACATAATTGAGGGCTCTGTAAGTAGCATCATCTTATATCTACAGTAGATTCCAGTCGATCTTATGATCCCGGTTACCATTTGAATTAGAATTTCTTCTTGAACATCAGCTCTGTTGCTACCATGATTACCAACACATCCACAATTGACCAACATCACTTGTTCACTTATTTTAAAAACACTTTTATTTATTTTGTTTCAGACTACTGCCCTGTGTGACAGGTACAGTAGATATTATTGTCATCATTTTATGAACAAGGAGCCTGACCACGTGGTTAGCATCATGACATGATGCATCCCCAGAGCAATAGCTACCAAGCTGCTTGGTTCCTACTACAGGGCTGAGGCTCTAAATGAAAGTAAATTCAAAGCCCTTGTAACAACTTTTGAAACCACAACTACAAGAAATTATTGAAATACAAAATAACATTAAGTTAAAACAAAGAAAATGTGAAACTTTTAATTGACTTCATTTGTTATCTGTAATACCAAGGAATATCTATGACAAAGAATAGCAGATAATATAAGTAGAAACACTTTAAAATGAAATGGCAACTGAAATTGCATATCTATTTTTAGGCACAGTATAGTGATTGAAGAATGTGTATTTTTGTTGTTGTTGTTAATTTATACTAGCATTAACTTTTTTTCTTTTCCTGAATACATCACAGTTACAATGGATGTAAAGTGATTGTTAAAGTCATTTCTTATTCATTTCTAATATTGAGAAATGCAATTTCTTCAAAAATAGTTGAGATAGTCTTGCTATTAAATGCCTAAAATTTTTGCGAAGAATTTTGAATGGAAAGGTTTTATTCATGAACTTAACAGCTTTCTTATTCCCCTTCTTCACTCTGTGTGATTTCTGCTTTGTCTGTAATTTAGGCATATGTTAGCTGTTATTTGTGGGCTGTCATAGAAAATTCCATTTCAACTTTGAATTTCCTACTATTTGTAAACCATCTGAAACTTACTGGCTGCTGGTGTAAAACATTCACTTGAGAATTTTCTTCACCAAAAATGCCAAATGCATGATGAATTTGGTTTACAAATGATTCACAGTATTAAGTATTTTAATCACGAGCAAGATTCTAAATTTACAATTATAGTTCAGGAGCCTAGTGGATATGACAAGTAGATTTCCAAACATTAGCCATGTACTTCCATTTTTAACCTATGTCAGCCCCCGGATTAAAGCCATTTTTTATTTGAGACAGAAAGGAAGTGAGAAAGTATCACACACACATTAATTAAAACCAGCTACAAATTAATTCTACTTATGGTATATGTTTCAAAAAAGAGTCAAATCATACTCCAATTTAAATTATTATTCTTTCAGATGGCTAAAATGAAGAGAGAATGTCTTTATCAATATATTGATCATTTTCTAAAATAACTATTTGTGAAGTTCATTAAAAAAAACTGATTAGATGCTATATAGGTTTTCCTGAAAACCTAGAATTAGCTTTGAGGCATTTTATGTAAGTAGCATTGTTTCTATCTGTAAATTTTGGATTGTGTTGTTATTTTTATTTGCAAACCAATATATTCCTGTTATTAGGACTTTTCTTTAGTCAAATCTTTGCTTTAAGTGTTTTTGAAAGTTACTTAACACAGTTGATTTTGACCGGGGGTTCATGGATTCCAGAATGTATTTAGATGTATAAAATGTATATGTCCCTGACATTTTGTGCAAAATACTGTAATGTAGGTGTATGTGCAGATCTTTGGGGGGGAAATTATAGATTTCTGTCAGATATTCAGAGTTAAAAACATGCTAAGAACCACTAAAAATGCTTACCAACCAGTATGTTATATGTTAAACTAACTGCCCCTCCAGGATGTGTAAATTGAATCTAGATTTAAAAACCAAAAATGAAAAAAAATCATTATTAAAGACTTCAACTGAGCATATTAAAACAAGTATTTCAGGGAACGTTCTAGTGTTTACAGGGATAAACATTCAGAAACCAAAGTAAATACACAGAAATGAAAACTTCTTGGATCAGAATTTTTACTCATTGAATAAGTAATACATATTTCTCAGCCTTTTTTTTGTTGCAGTTGTGTCTATGAGAAGACCTTTTGTACTTTATCAGCCTCCTAACGGAGGGTTCTGTACTAACAAATATTTGATGATGGGTGACTTTACCCTGTACACTTTTACACATGGGATCTGGTTCAATGTCTCAAGCTGTTTTCAGTATGGATTGAGATCATGGTATAGTATATGCCAACTTTCCACAGTAAGGAAGTACTCTCCCTCTTTCTTGCCAAACTTTAATTCATTTTTCCATATGAATAATCCAAAGGGCCTGGCTAAACAAATGTATTTTTGTCACTTCTTCTGAATTTTTTCCCAATGTTAGTAGTTTAAATATTGCCTACAACCTGCCAAGTCTTAACATTATTTCAATTTAATATATAAACATAGATGTGTTGTCTTCATCAAAGTAGGGCACTCAATAGATTTATCTATTTTTATAGCATCTAACACTTTAACATTTCATATCACAGGAAGCACATTAAATTATAAACAGAAACAATGAAAGAAAATCTCCTTAGTATATGCTCCTTTAATGGAAACTTTGCTATTTGGGGAATACATTTATGCTCACCATAGCCATGTGTTTCTGATTACCTCCTGTTGATGGCTCCAAAATGAGAACCACTATTTTGTTGACTGTTGCTTGACTATTCATTTCCCATGTATTCATGACTCTCCCTTCTCTTTCAATGACCATTCTATATGATATCTGTTTTCTCAAGGATCCAAACAGAGCCCAATGCAAATAAGTGAATGTTCTTAATTGAAAATGATCTAATTAATCTTGTTTGCATTTCTAATGGTAAATTTAACATTAGAAAATTTCTTAAAAATTCCTTACTTGGCTCAGGTTTTCTAGAAATAGATCTGGAGGCAAATACTTGCATGCTAACACCTTAATGGATAATGCAATCCCTGGGACACAAGAGTGAGGAAAGAACAGAGTAGGGAGAGCAGACACAAAGGAGTACATTATTGCTAGTCATTTCCAGAGAGGCTTTTTTCAACCACCACGTCTCGGTACAGGTGCTGGCCAAAAGGAGCAGAAAGGGCAAGCAATTAATCTCCTGATCTCTTCTTCTGTCTTTTATTGATTGGAGTCCCTCTCATGGCACTTACAGGTTTAGTTACCTGGCTTCTCAGGGCATACACTAGAGAAGCTAGCACTTTGCTGGGTGTGGTACTGCAGGTGCAAAGGTGAGGTGGATCCTCCTTTTCAATCAGTACCGCGAGTAGGCGCTTTCAGGTCTGTAGTGCAGACACAGTGAAAACATTATGTTTAGTTTGATGACCACAACGATGACGAATAATGCCCACTAGAGGGGTAGATGAGGCAATGTGATCTACTAACCACTGAGACAGTAGTTTGATAATTTTGCTTTCTAGAAATCCACCAAAAATCCAGCAAAAATTCTCACACTCTTGGGAAGAGGCCTCTCTTCTTTTATATAAAAATGTTGTAATTATCTCACTGAGAATCCTCCTCCTCAACTGAAAAAAGAACCCCACAGAACCTTGCTTCATCTCTACCCTTTCTCTTCCCGATACCTTTCATTTATTCATTCTTTTTCATTCATTTAGTAAATATTTATTGAGCAATTTGTATATATTAGCCTCTTTATAAGATACTAGTGATACAGAAATAAAAGCTTCTGTGAGACAGACAAGTAAATTAACATGGTGATAGGAAACTGATAATTACAAGACTACTTTTTGAATGTTGAGAAGAAACTAGAGAGGGTAGAGAAAAAAAAGTATTACAAGTCAGTCAAATAGTCCACATATGCAAATAAAAAATGAAATAGGCAGATAGTCTGATACATTTGGAGAATTCAATGTATTTGTTTTGCTGTGTGTGTGTGTGTGTGTGTGTGTGTGTGTGTGTGTGTGGTGATGGTGGTGGTGGTGGTGTTGATGGAAGCCAGAAGACAAATACACAAGGTAGAAAATTCAGCAGGTCTGGATGTTGGAAATGTGCATATGATAAAGATCCTGGATTCTATTCCAAAGACAGCAGAGACTCCCTGAAGAATGTTAAGCAAAGATTGGCATAAATAGATAAGTGTATTAGATAGAACAGTATGAACACACATTGCAGAATGGACTGGAGTAGAATCGAACGCAGGGA